AAATACGGGTAGCTGAAGTTTTTCTCACAAATCTGACTACAAAACCATATCCAAATTTCACGTTCCACTTTTGTCCCTGAGTTGTGCTTCGCACTCGCCGCTGAGGGCGGCGTTCCAGGAACCCTGCGTCAAGAAAAGGTTGACATTTGTGGAGGTAATCTAGTGTTAGATATTTCAAATGTGAAACTGTCTGATAAAGGTCAATATCAATGTTTTGTTAAACATAGGACACATGTTATAACAATGTCAAAGCCGGGAAATTTGATGTTCAAGCTATACCCCACAAAACATACCCAAAATGCATTGTTTCTAAACATTTATATGCTGAAGGTGATAAAGTCACAATATTGTGCATCTCCGAAACCAAAGGAAATGTTAATATGAAATGGTTCAACTCACCACAAGGTACAAAATTGCGACGGTTAAAAAAGACAGACTTCACAACATTATTTTGTAGCTTTGAAGCTACAAAGCAAGAACATGGTAAGGAATACAAATGCCTGATGAAAATGGAGGGAGAACAAGTTCCACATGGATGTTCCACACAGGCTCTCAACATCACCAATCAACTGCATGTGTACACAACAACCCCGGAATTTACTTATACCGGAAATAGCCTCAACATAATATGCGACATAGAGGAACATTTTGAAGAGGTTTCTTACACATGGGCATTTAAATATTGCAGTAGTGATGTAATAAACAAGTTCAAAATCATGAATGAAAAAATCTCAATCAACTCTATTGCTTTGGATATGAATGGATGCCATGTGACTTGTAACGCTTTTAAAAATAATGCTACTGGTAATTACACATACATAATAAAAGTTGTTAAAAATAATGCTACTAGTAATTACACACGCGTAATGAAAGTTGTTGAAAATGACATGAAGAACAACTATTTACCCTCTGGTAAAACATTAACAGATCACTCTCTGACAGTAACAATAGTCTTAACTGCATTTGGATGTTGAGTTTTTGTAATAATAGCGGCTGCTTTCTTGGTTGTATACAAGAAAAAACACAATGGAATTTTACATATTCCTGGTATTTCAACACCTCAAAGAATGTAACTACAACAAGTAGAAAAACAATATGATTTGGAGAAAAAACTGAAATACGTGAAAAAGTAAATGTATAAATGGTATACACTTTTTTTTTAAATAAGAACCCTGAGGCTAAAATTGCTTAAAAATTAAGAACAAAATAAGAACAAATTAAGGCTGAGAAAAAATGTCAAATGATATTTTTATTTAAAAAAACTAGAAAAACCAAAAAATCATATCTGTACCTTATGTGCAGAATGTATGACTATGTAATACCCTCTATAAAACAGTACAGTAGGTGTACCTACCTGTTGTTTGGGGTCATTTTTACCGGGGCCTTTTTCTGGGGCCATTTTTACCTCCATTCCAGTACAGTGTATACTGCTGTACAATAATTTTCTATGTTTCAAAAGTATTTAAAATAAGAACAAAATAAGAACATTTTGAGCCTGAAATCTGCCAAAAAAGAAAAAAAAAAAACTGAGTCTGGGCAAAATTTTAATACTTAATACTGTATCATTCTTCTTTACAATTACTGTATTATTAGTATATTACCATAGTTCCTCTGTAATACAGTAGTATAATACTTGCATAAGTAGGTATGTTAGACTGTTCCGTACAGCAGTTGTAATATGCAGGTTCTCAACCTTAAAAGTCAGAGGTTACCCTGACACTGTAAATATGGCCTTGGTTTATGTATTAGTAATTTTCTTTCTCTATTCAGACAAGTAGGTTTTAAACATGCTACTTGCTCCAACATTATGGAATGCTTCAGGACTGACTATGTGCTCAGTAATCATTTTTTTCCAATGACCTGATCATTTTTGAGGCACATAGGCCTTGGTACCATACATAATTTTATTCAATGAATTAGCATTCATGGAAATTTAACTTGTAAGCATTTCACATACCTTGAAGGACTATCAAAACATTAAATGAAAAATATAGCATGGCTTTTTGCTATATCACATCATAACATAAATGATTGAATAAACATAATTTCCTGATAAACAGGAGTCCAGTGCCACTTTTTCTATTTTGAGTAAATATTGTAGTGTTTTGTGTGTACATATTACCCAACATGATTTGAAGTTTTCATATAATCAGGGCACTATTAAAAAAACAATTTTCCTTACTTATTATGACATATATTATTTTTGTAATTTCCAGATTTTGGTAATTAAAACCTGTGAAAACTGAAATTGTGTTGGTCTTTGTTTCATTGTATGTTAACACTTTTATCATTTTGAATGAAAATAATAATTGGTTTACTGAATCATTGGGGGGGGGCAGGGGATTAGGTTTTAGGATAAACTGTGGTTTTTAGTAACAAAAAATGAGTTCCGAAAGTAGCAGGGATTAGACACTGCAATTATAGACACTGGTAAACAGAACTTGCTCACCAACATTTTTGATGATGATCACAAAAATTGTGATTTTAATGGCGGTACATAAATAAATATTTTAAAAAAATTAATTTTATTGCTAAGAGTTCAGCTATGCGAGTCATTTCACTTATCTGTCAATTCGGATAATTTACATCTGTCATTTTTCCAGTGCCATTTTTTTAATGGTCTTTTTTAATAGTAATGTAGGACAAGATACGGAAACTATGCTTGTTTCTTCGGCGTTCATTAAGTCTACAATCGCTGTAGTTACTTCTTGCAAGCTTTAATAATATAAGTCACTAGCTAGAAATTATCTCCTGGAAAATCCCATCACCCGCAAATTTATGATATATTCATGTATTTACTATACTGTATTATCCATTGTCTCCCGGAAGTCAGTCCTGAGGGGTTTCACTATGCGCTGCAATATAAAGTTAGATAAAGAAAGATTAGAGAAAGCGCATTTAAAACAGATCTCCCAAAACTTTGGCGAGCCATTTTTGGGTCGCGACCCATAGTCTTCAAATTAAAAAATTAAAAAAATTAATTTCTTAAAATAAAAAAAATTGAATTAGGATAGAACCTGCTGCACTAAAGAGCCTTCCCCAAGTAACACATTATAAGAAACTGAAAGTAAAACTTAGTGTTCAACTGAATACTTGTTGTAGTCATTTGTTTCCCATTTTATGTCTTGCAATAGTAGCAGAAGTACATGTACAAATTTATTTAAAAAAATATTGTTACAAGATAGGGAGACAGAAAGGATTTTTAATTGGTTGTATCGTAGTCTAAGATGAGGTATAGCTTCTGCATGGGTTTTATATTTAGACAAACTATTCCTGAAATATTGTTCATCTTTTTATTCCTGAGCTTAACACTCAGCTTTGAGGTCAATTTTGTTTATGAACCAGAAGACAAAAATATTCTGGAGGGAAAGAAAGCTGCATTTAAGTGTTTCTTTTCAACTTGGAAACAGGGTTTAAGATGTGTTTGGAAGCATAACAACAGCGCACTGCAGCCCCAGATAAGTAAGCATACAATAGATTTCAGCCAAAGTAATGATGCATGCACACTTGAAATACCTGAAGTCACTTCATCAGATTCTGGACAATATAGCTGTCTTGTGATCAATAGTACTGATGCCATCCTTAAATCATCAAGACTTGCTACGCTGACTGTTGTCCCATTCCCAACACCCATCTGTCAATCAGATAAAAAATCTTACATGGTTGGAGATGTGCTGATCCTGTACTGCATTGTTGAGATCATTGATGAAGTTTCAACTGATCCCTCTATTAGATTGGAATGGGGTTTATTTGAGAATGTGTCAACCAAAATAATATCAATAAATAATGGAACACATATAATTTCAAAAAATGAGTTGGTCGCCCGGGAAGAGCTCAATGAATGGAGTCTTGTTTGTCGGCTGAATTTGGAAAATTCAGATCCAAATAATGAAGAAAAGAAAATCTGTAGAAAGTCAATACATGTAACAATTAATGTGACAATCTTTACATTTGATAATCTTCAAGTTGGACAGCCTGCAGCTTTCTATTGTAAAACTGGACATGACTGTCCACAATGTGAATACAACTGGACAATCAACAATACCAATCTACTGGTCAACATCTCAGAACCTGACCTAAACTTGACCATCACTGATGAAATGATTGACAGTGTACTGATATGTCATGTGACATATCACAAAATGCATGGATCTGCTACATTTAAACTTAGTGTCAGTACGTTAAACACAACCACAAATAGTGACATTACTTTAAATACAACATCATGTACCAGTGGTGACTTCTTCAATGTACACTTGTTAATAATTGTTGCTGTAGTAACAGTATGTATCATAATATTTTTGATTTCTATAATTGTGATAATCTACAAAAAATCTAAAACAAATGAAAATAATTCTGCAGCTGAGAGAACATGCAGACATAAAGACATGTCAACTCAGTATAGTTTTGATGACTTTATATCGGGAGAAGAGGTGGCTACACCACTGCAGCCAATGTCAACTTCTCTGATTCCAGCTTTTGTTGAATATCTTCAACCTTTTTCACATCAAAACTTAGAAAAAGAGAGCGAGGACCTAACAGTAACACCCTCTAAACAGCAAAGGAAATCAATAACAGATGTGGCCATTTTGGATCAAGAGAGTGAATATGCTCATGAAATCTATGTATCAAATTTTCATAATGATCAATCAAGCCAAACCTCAAGTTTAAACATGAAGCATGTATACTTAGAGTTGGCAGAATCGCACATCTACCAATTACCACTGCCATCGCAAGACATCCAAGAAACTACTGGAAATGACCTGCAATGTACTTCTGCTAATCAAAATATTCCTACAGACATGGAATACTCATATGCATATGGACATGTTATTGAAACATAATAAAAAAAATTGTAGCTGAATCCAAGTATGACAAACTTCATCTTTACATTTTATGTGTATTCAACTCCGAATCGGCAGTGAATACATTTCTTGAATTTAAAAAAAAACATGATCCTTGTATTCAATTCATTATGGAAAAAGAGTAATAATAATTACCATTTCTTGACATGCTTATTGACACCTTGGACCCTAGTCGTTAAGCACTTACACAGGTTTGCTAAGTAATTTTTGTAGCTACACGTCCTGTATGTATATACTCGGCCTTAAATAAACCTTGATTGACTGTACATTTAAAATAACAATTCGTGGAAAGAGTCTGACCTTGACTTAACTAAATTGATTGTTGTTTTTCAAAGAAATTGTTTTCCGACATCTTAAATTAATAATACCATTAATAATTATATGGTCTATGATTAATTTTTGTCTATTTCCCTACTTCTGTAATTAGGAAAAATTTCCAAAGCAACTACGGAAGAAAGTTCTGTAGTACTGTACTTGAGAAGTCTGCATGTTTACTATAACTCTAACTGTTTGAGTAAGGCTATGTGATGAAATGTTGTTGATCCAGGGATTGGCAGCTCTGGCCAAGATTGTTCCATTATAATTACAAACCAGAGCCCTGGGGCGTCAACGTTCCTATGCATGATGCATGTTTTATTTTCAGGCAATATGAGGTTGGGTGGATTTTGTGTTGTGGTGGTTTACCTTGAAAAGTTAATTCTTTGAATTTGAATATTGGGAAAATGAATACAATAATTACACATCAGGTATAGGCCTAAATAAATGCTCTGCTATTTCCCCGCCGCCCCTGGCAGGAGATGCTATTATTCACGCCTCCAGCATCATGCAGCAGCCTAGCCTGTTGTCTCATCTCGTGGGTGACAAGTTGTCCCAATTGACCTTATGACATGTGGCACCCTCTAGAGACATCAGAGTCGCTTATTATTTTTAATCAAGCAACTGGGGGTGCTAATCAAAAGCAAAAACATGGAAGAAGGTGAGTGAACCACCACTGATGATCTTCACATCGTGAGGTAAAAACAAAATGTCGGAAAACTTTTTCTGACGCATGCGCAATTTCTCTCTAAATGTCCACACACACACGCACACACACCCACACAGAATATGTGATTGCAAGAGTCCCTATTGCATTGTATGCAATGACAGTTAATTAAAACACTAACTGTATACTCAAATGTAGTAGGTCTACTTACTCATTATTGTTTTTATTGAGAGACAACAATGTATGATTTATTGATCATGAAACATCCCTACTTTTGAAAATGGAAGTAACCACTGCACAACCAATCACATCAACTGTAGTAATTATAACCAATTTCACATCAGCCAATGGCGTACTGTAAATTGAACTTCATCAGTTCAAAAATTAGCACAGGTTCCTCATAACAATGACCTTTATCATAAATCAGCATACTGTACTGAAAATAATGTACTGTGACCACTCATGCATATAGAACATAATGTATTGTAGAACCAATCAACCAATCAAACCATCAATTTCCGATTATCAACTGAGCCATGAGGACAAGAGTGTTATAATACACCCTTGGATTTTTCCACTAGAACACATTTTTACCATCAACAACATTAACACCAGTGGATGTGTTATCTCCATACCAAAGTTACTATCATATGTGATTTACAATTATTTATTGCATAGTATGCAATACCTTGAAAAAAAATGTGTCCTAATGGGAAAATCCAATTAAACAAATAAAAAAAAAAAAGATTTTAAAAGTGTTATATGTATACTTAATCCACAGTACATGAACACACACACACACATGGCAAACAAACAGTGGAATTATAGTCTTGTTAATAAAAACAATTTGATCTGGTCCTTAAAATCAACAGAACTAAATTATACATATATTATATGTATAATTTAGAAATTTAGAAAATTACAGTATATATTAAATATGTACTGTAATTTTCCTCAAAAGACATCAGTATAGTATTTCCTTTTTATTTGGTTAAACCAAGAAGTCTATGTTTAAACTATAAATTTGTATTTGGTTTTCCATTTTGGTTTTCATTGATATCAGACAGTACTGAACAAAAATGACACAGTATTGATTATACAATAGGTCCCAGCATTACATGGCTGTCTGATATCTACGTGCTTAATCTATGATTCCACAGTAGAGCTGGCAGCTCGCCAAAGGTGTATTCCATTTTACGGTATTTATCAATCCACATCATAAAGAAATGAAGTTCAAACAAATGACCTTCAAAAATCGAGCAGTCTTATGTTAACCTGTTGCTATTTAAGTTATTAATACATCTACAAAAAATTTTTTTAATTTTAATATATATTGAACAATTGTAAAAACATATTTCAGCTTTTACTATTAGAAAATGGAAGATTCCACTCAGTGTTTTATTCAGTTTGAAAAATGTGGGAAATCAGTATAACGGGAAAATGGCATCTAAAATACAATTACAGTTGTTAATAATCACTTGTTGCTTTTACCAGTTTTGTAGTCAGCAGAATGTAGATATAACTATTGTTTTTCACACAAAACATATTCAGGCTCATCAACATGGTAATGTTGAGCTCCTATGTACTTTGCATGGAGATCTTAATAATGAGATGGAATTCAGTTGGCTGAAAGACGGAGCTCAGTTTATACCAGACTACAACGATCACCAAAGATCTGACATTAGTGCAGGTAATGTAGTGTTGGATATTTCAGATGTGAAACTGTCTGATGAAGGCCATTATCAATGTGTTGTAAAATATAGGGAAAAAGTTATAGCAATATCAAGGCCGGGGTATTTAACGGTTCAAGGCATACCAGACAAAAACTACCCACAATGCTTTCTCTCCAAACACTTGTATACTGAAGGTGATAAAGTCAATATATCATGCATCTCTGAAACAAAAGGGAATTTTAAAATGCAATGGCTTAAACCACCGCAAGATACAGAAATGATACAATCAGAAAAGACGGATTTCACAAAGCTATTTTGTAGCTTTGAAGCTACAAAGCAACAACACGGTAAGGAGTACAAATGCCTGATGAAGATGGAGGGAGAACAAGTTCCACGTGTGTGCTCCACAAAGGCCCTCAACATCACAAATCAACTGCATGTGTACACCACAACACCGGAGTTTATTTACACCGGAAAAAGCCTTAACATTACCTGCGATACAAAAGAGCATTTTGAGGATGTGTCTTACACATGGATCTTCGAAAACTGTAGCAGTGACATGTCAAACAAGTTTATAAACATGAATGAAAAAATCTATATCAACACCATAGATATGGATATGAATGGTTGCCATGTGACTTGCAAAGCTGCAAAAAATATGGCTACCGGTAACTATACATATGTAATGAAAGTTATTCAAAATGACCAAGAAATCAACGTTTCTTCACTCTCTGTCCAAGCATTAAAAGATGAATCCGAGATATCAACAATAGTCTTAACTACATCTTCATGTTTTATTTTCATTATTGTAGCCATTGCTCTCTTGATTAAATACAAGAAAAAAAATACTGGAACTTTAGATATTCCTGGTATTTTAACACCTCAAGGAATACGTAGCATGAACAGAAAACCGAAAGGAGAAAGTGTATAAAGCAAATTTTTACACATAATTTTCATTCTCATATTTTTTTAACAGTTTGATTATTGTTAAATTTGTAATATTAATTTCCAGGTAAATTTTATACTGTATATATGGTTTAATATCAAGGATCATGCAAATTTGTATGTAGAAATTTACCATCTCAATATTTCAAATCATTGTAAATAACATTCATAGCTGTTTGCTGTATTTGCTTTTGTTACATATTATATATCTAGCAATGTACTATACAGTCTCTTCGGGAAATTCGCTCCAAACTTTAGAACCTGTGTATGAAATACTCTGTTGGGTGGTATGTGCTCCCTTTCTAGGAACGTACAAACTATTTTTGTTTCGAGTATTGTGATTATGCACAGATTCTGTAATTTAACTTATGTAGTTTGAAAGAATTATAAACTATAAAGTACAGTACTATAATCATATGCTATGCAACAATAAAACACATCTAAACTATTGTATTCCGTACGCAATTATAATTTTTTAGCAAAATGCTAGTTTTTAAGTTGTATTTATTACTAAAAACACCTAATTAATTTTATTATGAATTTTTAACTTGCTCTTTCTTGCTTTAACCTAAGATTTTGCCATAGACCAAGTTGCTTTGTCTTGTGATTTTGTATCTGTTTTTTAAATATTTTCAACTGTTGCAACATGGCAATTAATTATTTCTCTTTTTGATAATGGGACAATAAAATGCTCTTGAATCTTGAACTTAAACTGTGTAGACCTTAATTTAAGATACTTCAAATTAAATTAAAGCCGGGACTCACTGCACCGTACGAAGGTGGTACGACTGTCGCACGATGAAACTAACTCTGTTCTCTGTGATCGATAAACGACGTGACACTGTCTGCTGATTGTCGATGGCAATCTGAACGGGTCGTCATTAAAAATGATTTGTTGAGCACTCGTCGTCGTGTTGCATTCTAAATAGAATCGCGTCGGACGACAATTGTCGTGTGCAGTGAGTGCCGGCTTTATAATAACTTAATGCTTCGATCTTTGATTATATTTATGCAGCACCCTACGGATAAGCTACTAGACTATGTGTAGCTTATGAATAACAACGAATATTTCCTATAAAAAAACGCTGTAACATCTTCACCTTATTCAATTCTTCCGTTTGGATTTTCATTGTAATATTTCTTTTATTAATATTTCTGTATTAATTTTGATTACTTAATTTTATTATTTATTTATTTGTTTTTATTTCGAATCTAAATACAAAATACAGAGAAATACAAAAAAGACTAGATTTAGGACGACACAATTAATCCATAAAAGATGGATTAGTTTCCATTGGGGTCCAGGAATAAAATTTACATAATAAGCAACAAAGAAGAAAAAACACACAAAAAACAGAAAACATTCACATTTCAACTTAGAGGAACTAGGCATAACTTTATCAATCTTTCAGGTCATTTAATTGATGCTGCTTTAAATTACATTTAAATATGTGTATATTGTCAATTTCCTTTAAATAAACCAGGAGAGCATTCCAATTGAATAATTTTAATTTTTAATTTTTTTTTTAAATTATTATTTTTGTTCACCATTGTTGACTGACCAGGGTGTGTGGTAAGTTACCGTAAGTACGTTGATAACCTTCAGAGGCTTCATCATCAGCTATTGTCAGTCCACTGCTGGATAAATGTCAAAGGATGTCGACGCCAAATCAACCTTTCTCTCTTGCTGTGTTTCAATTTCACTCTTCCCCAATAAATATCGATCTCATCTCTTAAACTTTTACGTTGGTTTTCCTTCTTCGTTTTGCCATTCATGAGGTCTGTTTTTTTTTTAATTTTTAATTTTTTTTTATTAAGAGGCTTAATACTTACAGTAAATACAATTTATTATGCCATGAAAATGCTTGCACCTATGGCTGAAACATAGCCTTAGCCATTTGACAGCCTGTCAACAATGTAATTTGGGGTACACTATCTATACATGGCCACCCAAGATTGGACACCGTTTCAGTTTGGTTTGTACTCTTGCTGACTACAAGTTCAACAACCAGAATGAAAACCACTGAGCCAAACTGCATTTTTACAATTAATACTATTAATAATAATAATATATTATTTTTAATATTATTTTATTTATTTGTATTCATCCCCCTCCCCCACTAGTGTGTGGCTATTTTTTATGGGTCAATAAAGCATGAGTACCATTTGTTATCTTGATAATAGTTAACCCCATGGGCGTCGATCTGTGGGGGACAAGGGGGCTGCGACCCCCCACTTTTCAATGTAGGGGGGGACATCATATCGATTGGTCCCCCCCCCCCCACTTTTCATCAGTCTTCTATAATTAAAACCCCACTTTTAAAAGCGAATGGAAAGAATAACAATTACGCATGACTCATGAATTTTGTCTGTTCACTTTTCTAAGTGTGGTACATATTTTCCGGACCAAAACCAAGTAAAAACGCAATTGTTTATACATTTCGTAACCATCTCAGAAACCACTAGAACGATTTTATGGGTGCAACAGTTATCAGAGGCTAAATTTATTGTGAAAACAATGCACTGAACGTTGTTAAAATTGGAAGCGTGTATGCTTATTAGGCTAATATTTTTACAAACTCAAAAGTGCACAATTTCTACTATAAACTATTTATTCCTTTTGTATATTATTATGACTGTACGTATATAGAGTTAATAATTATCTACATACATAGGATTACTGTTTTTCCTAATTTCAAAACCAGAGCCTTGCAGGCGTCAACGTTCCTATGCATGATACATGGCTTAAAAAGTATATAGGCCCTATATATACATATATATACGTGTATAT